ATATATATATATATATTAATCTAATTGAAAACATAAATTCTAAGTTGTCAATCAAACAACAACACTAAACTAGCTACATCGAATTAGCTTAATACAAACACTGTCATCTTTTAGTGTGGCTCTCGGAACATGCTCATCCTCTAGTTTATTATTCCTGCATTTCTCTCATAAAAAATATGATCATCATAGTCCAATAACAAGGAACATGCAATGATAAGCTTGTAAATAATAAATCAACATAACATAGAACCAATTAACTAGCTATAAAATAACTTCATCAACTTAACATTCAACAACCTAAGACTCAACTTAACAACATAAATAAACATAGCAATACAAGTTTACAACTTAACAACATAACAACATTTCAACTTACAACACAACTATACAACTTATCAACATATCAACTTAACATATGAACAACACAACTTATCTACTTAGCATATGAGCAACACAACTTATTAACATAACATATGCACAACACAACAACTTTATATATGTATCATTACACATTTCAAATAAGAGATCTCTTACAACACAGGTGAACAATTTAAGTAGTTTAACCTTATTGAGCTAACTTAACAACACAATCTTTTTGGACTTGCTTGTTAGATCAATAAAATTTTTGGATATTAATTCACAACACATCATGGTTTCTTAGATTTAGTCACTTAAACTAGGAAAGTCTAATAATCCTGTTAGGGATAGGATAGTTTGGGTGTGAATCTATTATAGTCTTAGCATGCATAACTAAGTTTATATGGAATTAGTCCGCCAACTATCCTTAAAATATTGTGCCTCTTCTAGTACTTAGGAATTTTAGCCGTTGACCTTGTGCCTCACTCGGTTGATCAGTTCATATGTGTATTGCTTGACCTTACCCTCACACGATTCTACATTGGTCACTTTTAATTAGTATGGTTCAACCTAATCCCATATTGTATCAACTAAGGACTTAGAGAATAATCAATACTTCACCTCAAGAAAAACTACAATCAAGAAAGTTTTTCAATAACTGGGCTCATAGAGTATCACAACAACATATTTTCACAATGGGATATTTCATTTTTTTAAAATCAACATAACTACTTTCAACACTACACTTCATACAACTCTACTACAATTCAACTTTTATTCATAATCAACTTACAACTTTAAGTAACTTTAACATCATTATACATCAGTCCAAATTCATGCATAATGAACTAGAACCATACATCAACATAAATCACGTGAGAAATACCTATACCACACTCATTCTCAACACTTAGTCAAATAAACAACAAGTTTTATTTTAGTTATCCACGGCGAGCACCAACCCACATGTGTTTGACATGAATGAGGCGGAGAACCCCTATGTCAATCACACCTGACATAGTCAAACCTATGTTTGTCCTCATTTAGACAAAATGTGTTTGCCTAACTCATACTAGGCATCATTCAACCTACTCCTGGTGTTTCCCAAGTAAAGAGCTACTGTCTTGATCATGCATTGATGCTTAGCACCACTCAACTAGGGTCCAACGTCACCAAGTTAGAGGACTCTTGAGGCAACCATGCTTAATGCCCCTCAACCCACTCCCAACATGACCAAGTTAGAAAACTCTTTTCAAACTCATGCTCAACGCTACTAATCTCATGCCTTGCATTAGTGAGTCAAAGAGCCTCTAACCTACATCATGCTCAATGCTATGAAGTTGTGCTCAACACAATGGTGAATTTCTCACTTGGCAGAATCACGTTTTTGCTCCAAACCACTTGGAAATCAACCACAACCAACATGCATAATTCTACAAAATTGCAACTTACTCAACTCAATTTCATTAAGACATACAACATGCAATCACTACATAATTCAAATTCACCAATTCTTCTCCAAAAACACCAAAACCCCAAGAACCAGAAAACCACTTCTCAAATTAACAACAACACAATCATGAAGATGTATAATCCAACAAAAAACATACAAAACCTTCTTTTACCTCAAATTGTTTAGTAAAGAGGTGGAAGAAAGAAAGAATATAATCCTTTGAGAACTTCGCATGACAACTTCAATTCTCTGATTTTCAACTCTAGAGGTTTTGAATTTCTACACAGCTACTCAATCTCACTTTGGGAAAGGCTCTAGTACTATCTAGTGGACTCAAAATAAAAAGGAAATCTCTTAGGCTCTAGAAATTTTCTCTCTAACTCCCCTATCATTTTCTTAAAAAATAAACTTATAAAGTTTAAATCATAAGGAAATTCTTATATGATTACTCTGAAACTTGACTAAATTTAATCTCGACTCAAAACAATTCTTAAATAGTTATACTTATAAAAATTCCTTATTTCGTAGAGTTTCATAACAATTAAACAACTAATCATAATATTAATTAAATTAATAAAATCAACAATTACAAAACAAAATTCACTGTATTACAATTATAATCAATTATAATTAAAACGAAATCTTGTTTGGATAAGTTGTTGTTGAAAATCAATTTTAAAATGTTTAATTTCATTTAAATACAAAGAAATAATAAGTTTTTATACAAAATTAATTAGCTTAAAAGAGAAAAAACTATTAAAAAATAATCATAATCTTCAAGTTTCTAACTTCATAAACAACTTTTTTTAAAAAAAAAAATCTAAAAGTGAGGATTATAAATTATTCATAGCATTCTCTAAGAGAAGTCACAATTAAAAATATCATTGAATCTCTCTTAAAACTAGCTAATGTAATGGGAAATTATATACCTCAAGTTATATACCTCCTAATTAATATATATATATATATATAT